TTTCCCTTTTTTATATCCTTTTCATACCCTTGGGTCTCTTCAATTAGAATTGCAACGATATATTTTGTTCTTCATTCTTAATTCATATTTAACATTTTTATTGAAAATTCCAATTTTTTTATTTCTGCTATTGTGTCAAATTAATCTTCTGACGGCACATTTTATTTATTTTATTACATTATCATCAACTTGCCCCACAACTAAAAATGTATTAATTTCATCTGTGAAAATATAAAATTTATTTTGGCCAAACGATATCAGAAAAAGTAGAAATTAATTATTCCAATTAAATGATTAATGTTGTAAACTTTAATACATAATATCATGCCTTTCATTCCTACTTTAATTTATCAATATTTGATCAATCAGCAGCCATCTAATTAAGTATGTAAAAGAAGACGAGCGTAGAATTGTATGTTCCTGCTCAAATTTATACCGGAGTTCAACCTTAGAGACTGATAACATGGCATTGAAGGGAACAACCTACATCAAATTATGCAGAAACGAATGCAGTGATGGCAAAAGTAAATCTTTTTTTTTTTCAGTACATGCTTACTGTCTAAAGTTTCATGCACTTTTATTTTATTTTCTTCGTTATGAACACACAGAGTTTACAAACTGATAAGATTCATAGACTGTAATAGGTAGTACGCACTATTTGTAATTGTGATGAAGGTTTTTGTAATTTATATGTCATTTTATCTTTTCACCAAAATAATATTGATTTATCCAATCTATGTCCCGACCATCCGTCACTTTTGTCTCTGATATTCTGATGAAAGATTAAAGATTACACGCTGTGGGTAGTGGGGAAAATGGCCGCGAAGTCCCAAGTGACTCGTGGAGGGCGAGGAACGTTGGCCGTAGATTCTCTCCATCTTTTAGGCCCTTTTGACCTCTATTGCCTTATTTATCTAGTGGAAAGTCTTGTTGCTTGAATAAATTGAGACGATACAACACTGCTCCCTATCAATAATGTAGTTGAAGTTTGGTGTTGGACGAATCAATAATTGCGTCATTTTTATGTCTGCAAAATATTATTTGTTTCTTTACCAATTGTTAACGCTTATTTCAAATCTGCAATCGGTATTTCCGCATCTGCTCCAGTTGTTTCTCTACAAGCCGATTTTGATATTTATGTTCTTTATTAGATGTTAACGCTATTATGAAATATTTTTACGGAACGTTGTTATAATGACTTAAGTACAGTACATGTTAAAGATACATGTTAAAGATAACTAAATTTCATCAATTAATATTGGTTGTATAATATTGTAATTGATAATATTTATTGTAATAATAGAATGATATAAAATGTAAAATGACCCAAATATTTTTTGTTACATGCGTGGTGAAGTGGCATTGCCAGCGCAAAGATCAAACATGAGTACAGCATTTGTGAAGGACAGCAATTACGCTTATTGGGATATGAAATTGAATATAAAAAATATGTATAAATCCTTTAAAGCGTAATAAAGGAAAGGTGAAATAGCTACATTTATTTCAATAATTCACATTTATTACTCATGAGGTACTCACACACAAAGAACGTAAAAGAGTAGCAATTTTTTCCACAATATTTATGTTTTAAATATAATTTTCTATTAGCAAAGGTTGTGCTGAAACTATCTTGTGTTTAATTCACTTAATAGTTAATTTTATGTAATCTGCTGTTGTTGTCACGTCTGTTACAAAGTTATTCACTCTGGATATACAGAAAATGTTCGAATGGCAAAAGAGTATGTGTAGTAATAGGATCCATAACAAAAAAAAACTAGATATTATTGAGGAAAAGTAATATTATTTTCGAGTTCAGCATGGTCAATCCTATAAAAAGCCTTGAAAAAATTTATAAAACATAAACGTTTTTTAAAAACGCTGGCCAGTGTATTCAATATTCCCGGTGCCATTTCCTTTTATTTCAGTCTAATATAAAGAGATTATAAGTTTATAATGAAAGATTTATAAATATTTGCATTAAAAACCTTTAAAAAGTTTTCTCTTTACCACGAAACTTACTTCAAATGGTAAAAAAATCGTAATGAAATAAATTTATTCAGTTTAAGTTAAAATTAATTTTAAATATTGAATTTCAGGATTTTAAATAAAAACTTTCAGTTGTTGGTCGCTGCCTAGGAGTCTCCTGGAAAAGGCGGCCCTCCTTCATTATAGCGCTGCTACATTTTTATTAGGAACGAAACCTTGGGTGTAGATATGTTTAGTAATATTATGGTAGTTGCATTTATATGCTACACTAGACGATATTTTGCTTTCAATACGTTTGCAACAATTCCAGAAATTACTTTGTAAGTGAACTAGGAGAGCATTACCCAGTGAAGATTGAACTTATTTTAATGTTCCTTAAATTTTGCACCTGTTAGCAAGACGGAACGAGATTCCGTTAGTAATATTCGGTGTTTTGCATTATTTCATCAATAGCACATGGCAAAAACATGTTAATTTACAAACTGCCAAAACTGAATTAACGGATAGTGTAACTTTCCAGCAGTATTTCTTTAACTTACAAAGTTTAGAACATACCAAATTATTATGTTATTCATATTAAATGATTTACTGTTTTTATATTATTGATATTAGAATGTAAATTAAAATACATATCTTTAAAAGTGCCTAACTTTTAATTTAGTTTAAATTTGCTTTTTAATTATGAAGTTTTTAATTTAACTCAAGAATGGAGGAAGGATTGAAATTGTACGTGCATCTGAAAGTGGATTGTAAATGTCACGAGTCGTTACAAAGTAGGAGAGGATTGAAAAACTAAATTGTAGGAATCCATTGTTTAAACGGCGCCTTATGTGTATAGTGCTGCAACTGGCAGAATCAGTTACACCATCAGGAACCGAGGTACCGGAGCCGGGAGCGTCGACATTGAGGTAGAGTCGCGAAAGAGAGTACTGTCAACTAGCGGAGCAGCAAACGAGTGCGGCCACAAAAATTCCAGGAACGCGCCTGTGTTTGTGAAACAAGTTGGTGGCAGGGGTGTGGGAAGCGCCGGAGACTGCGGGCCCAACAAAAGAACGCCCTCGCCCGCCAGGGAGGGTGAGCGAGGCCGCGGGTCCAAGGAGGTTGGAGGTGGATGTAGATAGAGGAGACCTGCGACGGGCTTTGCCGCCACGGAGGCAACGCAGGAGGACGGGGGAAGGGGGCTGTGACGACTAACGAGAGCACAATTGCGTTGGGATCCCAAAATGCGAAAGAAATTAAAGCGGCAGTGCTCTGAGGCGCATCTGCAGACGTTCTGAGAGTAGAGAGAGCGCAAGCCGTACGACACATCTGCAAAAGAGCTTGCGTCAGATGTGGGGCGTGTGAGGATGATATTGTTACGTGGGTAAAGATCGAATTCTGTTGGAGAAACGATAGAGATTGTAACGAGGTCTGTAGCGGTGACGTGCCTGTAGATATCTCAGAGGTTGTGAAGGGGTGTGGTGACGGTTGTATAAACGATTATGATTTTGTTTCTGCGGTGCGGTTGCGTGGAGGTTGTATAGAAGGTTCTTTCCGAGGTTATTTTGGAGGTTGTGTAGATTGCGTAATGGTTGTGTCGGAGGTTTTTGCGGATGTTATGTCGGCCGTTGAGTAGGTTTAATAGAGCGATGTACAGGAGATTGCGTTGGAGGTAGTGTCGGATGTGTCAGAGAAGTGTCAGCTGTCGCGTGGGCGTTCGTAGAGGCGTATGTCGGGAATTGTGGTGACGAGGTGCCGCGTGGGTGGGGCAGGAGGAGTGGCGGGGATGTAGAGGTGCAAGAGCGGTTTTCACTAACGAAGGGACACGCGTGGGGACAGCCCGGTGCGAGGAACAAGGAAACATAAGTTGGTGAACTTAAAACGCTAAAAAGTTGTTGCTAATACATGATATACAAGAAACAACTATGAAGTCCTACCTTGTGAGAAATGACTATAATCGCATATAAGATTTTAAAAAATCCATTGAAAATTTTATGAAATATCAAACTGCTGTACCCCGACTTACCAAATTCCGTTAACGATTTTCTCGAGTTCTAATTTATTTTTCCATTTGTTACTAATTTTTCTCCATCAGACCCGTTATTGGGTCCCTGGCGATTGCCCGGTCTTCCCCTGCCTAGCGGCGGCTCTGCGTGGGGTCGGGTTAGACAGGGCGGGGAGCGGTGTTTGGAGGGGAATTACGTCATCTGGACCTGTTTCGGGTCTTGTGCCGAGGTTACTGCCGGAGCTTGCACCAGAACATGTGACGGGATCTCTACTGATGCTTGTGTTGGTGATTGTCAGGTCTTGTGGGTGTGGGAGCCCGCTCAGTCGTACCTAGTCAGACATAACGCATTGGGGAGTCGGTGACCTGAGGAGAGGACTCGTGTCGGGCGAGCCAGAGCTGTGGGTGCCCCCGATGCCCCGCCGGCGAATGCGGCGCCGCCAGTGGCTGCGGTCGCGCTGGCGCCATGTGACGTGGCACGGGGCGAGGCGGGAGGATAACGCAGAGCAGGAGGGGCTCGCGGGGACGGAACGTGTCAGAAGCTGAGCGAGGGTTCGAAGCGTGTCGGAGAAGATCGTGCGACAATATTGGAGTGGAAATGGAATTCGGGGTGAGGGGGAGCGGGGGAGGGTGGCGCAGCTGGCGGCAAGTTGAAGTCGGGAGGAGCGTGGAAAAGGAGTGGAGGGGAGGAGCGAGCAGGGCAGCGAGGGGCGGGGCGCTGCGGAGGGGAGCGGAGCAGGGTACATTGGCACGGAGTGGGAAATGTCGGGAGGGGCAGCGTGTGTAGAGGGTATGAGGGTGCGGAGGGCAGAACGTGAGTAAAGTGGATCGTGCGGGGGGGGGAGGAACGAGTCGGAACGGAGCGTGTCGGGGCAGTGTGTAAGGGGCGGGTGCAAAGTGTGGGGCGCGGCAGGTAGTGTGGGTGCGGGGCTGCGAGGGGCCCGCGCTCTGGCGGCGAGCGGCGCAGCGCCTCAGTCCGCCGGCCGCCGCCGCCGCGAGTGCACGCCTTGGGGGTTGGAGGGCGCGCGCGACGCCCAATTCCATCTGTCGGGGCTGCGCTGCTGCCAGGCCGCTTTCGCCGCCGGTGCACGCGGTAAGTGCTTCTGTTTCTTTATGAGGATAGTGTTGCGGCATTTTAATGACGTTACGTTACACGTTTGGTCTTCTGTGTCGGACCTACAGTACATCTTGAGAATTTCTTATTCGCATTTATGAAATATCGCTCAATAATTTTCTACGTCAACTTAAGTCATATAACAACAGCCCCTATTATTTTGAGAATATTACCTTAGTAGTGTTAAAGCCGGTGACTTACTGACAGTTATGAATTGTTTGTACTTAATAAATAGTGTATGTGCAGGAGTAGGTTGTAACTTGTTAACACATAATCGTATACTTATTTCTACTTAGGAGAACATTTAGAATTTCATATTGTAAGATAAAGCACATATTGTTTAAAGTGATGTAAAATATTATTGATCTACGGTATATTATATTGACAAATTTGCGCATTTAATCCTATGAAAACAACTTGCCTGTAATGTATCTCGTAATTAACCTTTAATAATATGTTACCGAGTTATTTTGCAATATATACATTTTTTATATTATATTGCATTATTGGACAGAATGTAGATGTGGACGAAGACTTTACGGTCGAATTTGTTAGACTAAGATTCATTGTTTTATGACACATAGAAATCTTGAGAATGTTTTGAATGCTAAACATAAATAAAACCTTATTACTCTTTTCTTTGACCAACAAAATGAAATTGGAAGATCTTTCCCACAATGATCATCATAATTGCATTGGAAGACGTGAGCGGGAAAAAATGGACGTTCGTTAAAGTTATTGAATGGTTGATGATGTGCGGTGTCTGAATAATAAAACGATATAGGAACGAAGAATGTTTTTGCGTTATTTACTAATAAGAATGTAACTTCTCCACGTAGATAGCGGAAGAAAAGGGTACATTCACGCCCTTAACCCTTATCTTCCTGAATTATTTCTTTATAAAATAAATACACCATTGTATAATTCAACAAAATAATTTAAAATAATTTTTCTCTGTCAAAATTTTGAAATGCATATGAAGATCCCTATTTGGATGTTATGGAAAGCAACATTTTCTAGTTGTATCACTGCAACATTATAAGTTGAAAGTGTGAACTATCTACAATTACGAACAGCGTGTCCAAACGGGCATAAAGATATTGCTTCTATAATTATTGTTTAAGACAGAATTCAACGTTGTTTGCCCTTTCTCATAACCTATGCAGAAAATAAAAAAAATATACTTGTCAATAGGTAGGAAAGCTTACTCAAGCTAAAAATATCTACGATTATTATTGTCAATAATTGTTCATTGTTTTCATGTCTTGTGCTGTGCTATTTGCATTTGTTACATTTTTATTTTATTTTAAGAAAATGATTATTATCTACAAAAGAGGATTGTCATAGATGCAAAGTTGGGCGTGCGTCAGGTAAACTGCTGGATGTGTGTGTATGTGTAAAATGGGGTTCTGTTGAAGCAAGAATTGGCTGCTCGGGAACGATTCACGAGAATATGGAAGCTGCTGTCTTCCTCGTCGCGTGACGTCGTGTGTAAGTGGTGACGCACCTAGCACAGAATAATCCTTCAGTCGCTACGCTCAGTACGAGATTACGCTGAATACCGAATTTATATGTTGCATTTTCAGCGAAAAGTGAATTTGCTTCGTTGTTTCTGTGCTTCCTTGTGATGCCCTGGCTCTTCAAAGGAACCATACGCACCTGTCATACCATCGGAAGCTGCGAAAAAGCCGAAAAATTCTAAAGATCTGCAAATTTCAAAAATGTTATAATGGAAACCGGACCAATGACATCTTCATAAGTGTGTTTGGCTACTTTTACGTTTTTACAAAGTATTATTCTCTATCTGTACAAATTATTTTCTCTAATCTAACAAAAAATAAGGAAAAAATGGAGTCATTTTTTACAAAATTTTGAGTTTCATGTAAAGTGCTATAAAAATTAGTTATGTTTTTCAAATTTAGACAACCAAATGATTTGAAAAGAAAAAGTTTTGGGTACCCCAGGGAACCCCAAAACCTGTATTTCCGTTGAAATCTCGAAATCTATTTTCCGCACACATTACATAACTTTCTCTATACTTCATTTGTCACTCGGTATATATATACATATACGAGAAAGTAAAAGGTATGTGCTTGAATATAGTTGCCTTTTTATTAGATAAGTGTTTGCAATAGTTTCTTGAAGTTTTCTTAACTTATGGATATTCCCAGTATCTACAATTAAAGATATTAAATATCTACAATTCAGATACAGTCGACTTCGGTTATAATCAAGGTTCTTGATATTAGAGATTTATGAAGTTTTGGTTTCTTAATTTGATTAGTGGCTTGTAGTTGTGAAATATTCTATCAGTTAAATTATTTCCGCTTTTGACATTGAATATTTGTAGTACTTTATATATATATAT